TCAATAATGATTCAATTTTAATTTGGATGCTCGACTGTATTCGCCAGGTCGACTGCGTTAACTAGCTCGGCTGGCCTAGTCTTAATGGAGTTTTAATGCAATCGTGAAAGCGATTGCCCCTAAGCGCTCTATTACGAAGGCAGTCGGCCTTAAATGGTTGCAAATCGGCTGGTTAAAGAGACTCACTTATTGACCTTAGTGGCCAGTATTGGCGCGCATATCAAATGACTGGAGCTGGGCCTATCTACAGCAATGCAGCTTAGGAGTTACGAAACACAGCTCATAAGACGCTGATGTTTCCGCTTCTTTGAGCACTACGCGAGATGAGTTGAGGTGATTATTTGATATCAAATCTTCAGCATAATATTTCTTTTGAATACACTGCACAAAATCTAAACGCAAATAACTGTTAAGTAAATTTTAAAGATTCGAGTTTTTCATATCGGCAGACCGATAGGTTTCGGACTGATTGACAAGTCGTAAGAGTAGTTACAATTTGTGATGCAAGTACACAGTGCCGCAATATTATTTAATATTAATAAGAATATCAATAACAATTTTCTGGAAGATTGGTTAAAAACATTTAAAAAACTATAAAAACTATAAACTATAGTTTGAAATATATCTCTCTTCATAAAAATGTTTGTCCTGACTGACTTCATCGATTTTTTGGGCGAAACTTCCCGTTATATCCGATTTGGACCTACACAAAAATTAAATAAATTCGTGCTTCGGTATAACCGGTTGGTATAACCGTTGTATAACAACGAAAACAATCTATTTGACACATGGTTTTAAAAGCATAATTCAAAAATTATAGTAGCTAGATACACTAAAGAATTTATGTAAGCTATTGTCTATAGATTACAAATTTTTTTTTTTTTTTTGGTACTCCCCTAAATTTGCACGTAACTCACTCTTACATATAAATATCTTTTTTCATATGCCTTTGTCTAGAAAAGTTCAGTTACACTAAACATTTTTGGGGTATTTATCGCAATTTGTTAGAAAAGTGCATTAGGCCAAACGATTCGTTCAACAGCTGTGGCTTTTGGTCTCCTTGACGCCATTTGACCCAATACGACTCTAGGTTTTAGATTCCTTTCAGTTGAGACAAAGGAAACTTTACAACGCTCGATTGTGTTATTGATTTGTATAAAGAAGAGCTGCGGATGGATTCGGGAGAAATCAATTCCATATTCAGCGCACAGCGCAAAATTTCAATATGTGGCATTTCTTGCTGTTTTCAATTTACAGCGTTCAACATCCAACAGGAAACGTGTCTCGTGCGTTTTATTTATGAAAAACAGAACCCAAAAAGTTATGGATGCATAAAGTAAGAAATTGCTCCAGCCTAGATAAAACTTGTGGGGTGGGCAGCAAAATACACGCACGCACGCACACACACACACACAAATAAAGAATCGAAATATATATACTTAGTATCTACATAAATAAATTTTGAGTTTTGGCCCTCGACTTATTGTGCAGTTCTCAGGGTTGCGAGAGACATGGAAATATATTTTCACTGGCCCCTGTGAATAAACAAATGGCGAAGCATAAAAAAAATGTATGAGAAAATCGAAAGAATAAGCTCTGGCAGAGCTGTATATATGTTATTGTTATTGCCCATGCGACATGCATAAGAAGTAAGCAGAAATGAAACTGCAAAGTGCTCGCATATTTATAAACTTGCAATTCGTATGACGAATCTCTCTCTCTCTCTCTCTCTCTCTCTCTCTCTCTCTGTCTATTTTCTATTTATTTTCTGTATTCTGTATTTCTGTATTTTCTGTCTGGTCACACATGTATATTGAGTGGAGCAGAGCATTGCAATTTAATGTTTTGAATTCGTTTCATTTCAATTTTGATCTTGTGTAATACTGAGTAAGGAGATATCCTGTGCTCAGTATCGAGCTGCCATAGCATACATTCGTACTTACTCTGCTCATGTATCCACAAAATTTTTTGCTTTACGCAGCAATTCATTTCTATATCCTTCACATTAAGGAAAATGTATTCTTGAATTTCTTCAAAATTACAGTTACGAAAGTTACAGTCTGATCTTTCACATACATACTGTACACCCGTTCTATTCTATAATGAATATATAAAACTCTGAGTCCTAACTGACGACTGATTGGTAAACAACAGTTTGCTTTGCAAATTCCGCCCATTTTACATGAGAAATGCGGTTGAAAGATTATAAGGACGAAGTTTTAAATTCTGTCCGATCAGCTTTAGACTTATTTTCAAAGCCGTAGAAAAAACAAGCAGCAAAAAAATAAATTTAATAAAAAAATGAAAAAAATGAAAAAAACGAATTAAAATAGCAACACATACACAGAGCACAGAAATAAGATAAATATATACAAAGGTTTGTCTTGACTGGCTGAACGGTTACCAACGCACAGTTCAAACAATAAGAGACAGAAATATGCAATTGCTGAAGCTTCTTTTTGAAGCAAAAGTGAACATTATGACGGGGGAAAATTGAATCCGTAAGTCAGCACCTGGGTAAAATGGATAAAATGAGCATGTAGATCATTGATGTCTGAGCGTCTGATTAACTAGCGAGAAATCGCCGGTTTTTATTCGGCAGCAATTGTCAATTTGTTTTTTGACTAAAAAGAAAATTTAAGAAACAACAATGAATTGAAAATGAATTGGGAATCATTTTGTCGTTTTGTCAACTACCAACTTGGTTATATATGTATGTATATATTGACAGCTCCCAAAGTGGGATAAGAGCGTTTTGTGTTTCGGTACCACTTGCAATTTCAACATAATTAATTTGACCTAAGCGACGCCGGGCAATTTCTTCCATTTATGTATTGTTATTTGTGTTCCATTATTCTTTTCAAATGAAATATGAATACTTGAATGGTGCAATTTTATCGGCTTACCCAAAACGCACGCTGACAAAGTCGCATCAGATTTTTATTGTTCTGTCTTAACGCATGTTAGAAGTCATCTTTGACCCCATAAAACACACATGTGTGTATATAAATATATTTAAAATATTGTGAAATGCCAACATCCTCACAAGCAAAGTTTTCAAAAGCGTCTTAATTGTATTTGTAAAATTAAAAAATTTACGAAAACCTTATTACTTTTAAGAAGAAAAAATATCATAATTTTTAAAAGAACGTGTTTATAACATTTTAGCACTGTCTGTACCTGACTTCCGAACAGGTACCATTTGACTAACTTAAGGTCTAATTTTAAATTAACTTAAACTTAGCGTATAACCTCCCATTGTGCCTAACTTCTTCGTCTTCCCTCAGCCCCTGTTGGAAATGCTTGATTGAAATATTTCGATGCTTATTGTCCCTTCATTTTATAAATTTTCGGGCATAAATGTAGGATTCAAATGTCATGCCTAGGCATGCCTCAAAATAATTACTTTTTATAGTTTTGGAGAAACAGCGGAAAGAGGAAGCTAACCAAAAGTTAAGTACTCTAGATCAGTGTATACTATACGAAGAAGTTTGGTATTTGTGTTATCGATTTCAGGAATCAGAGCAAGATATCAATGATTTGAAATAAACTTGAATTGCGCGTGCCATGGGAAAACCTAGCAACAAAAATTGTACAACATCTTTCCGGAAACAATTAAATGGCCCGGCCCATCATTAACTTCTGCTGCCAAGAGGATACAGAACTCGGTTAAAGCGTAACTTCACGCCAAGCAAGGCTCTTCCCATATTTCATATTAAACGGAACCCACCTTACTTGGGCTAGCTAGGGGTGCATATTCTAATCTCGAGGTACCAAATTAACAGCTTTAGTTCTCTGTTCATAGTCGCAGCTACTCCATTATTTTGTCTAACGTTAAACAATGAAAAACTTGTTTCTTTAACTTCTCCTTTTGAGCTCGTCTGCAAGATTAAGGTGTTCGGTTAGACCTTGTGGCTTGCTACACGGGGAGGCGAAATACAACTGGTGGGGCACTTTGTGCCTTCGAGTTGACTTGACCAAAAACATACAAATAACGCAAGTGTTTCTCTGACGCCTTCGGCGATCTGTTTATCGAATATTGATGTACCAAGAATTACAAACCTTATGCAGACCGAATGTACGCTTTTTACCAATTATTTAAAATATAATACACTAAAAAGTAATATTATCGTCGCTTGGGAGACCGAATGATCCAAAAAATAGTATAGTTAGCAGGATTATCGCAGAAAAAAGGCAAGGATTTGTGGTGTTAAGAATCGAACGAGATGGGAGGGTAGCTATGTGCACTTTGAGACGAAAATAACGACAATAACATATCCCATAGGGGGGTTGAGAGGGGATGCTAGTAGGAGGGGCTCAAGTACTTGGCAACTGCTGTTGCTTATGCTGCCTAGTGGCAGCCACGTCCAAAAGCGCCACCTCACGCCATTGCCAACGCCAACGCCATCAACGCCATCGTGTCTTTCTGGTCGTTGGCAAATGTTGGAAAAACAAATTTTTATACTTGTTTTTGCCCGAGTTAATATTTGTGTTTTATTTTTCACAGCGCTGCAAAATATGCGACTGTGTGGGATGTCGTTGTCGCATGGTGGCCGGGCCTAAGAGGGCTGGCGGGGTGGCGGGGATTGATAGTGTAGCTGTCGAACGTCGCTGCCGTTTACCATGCCCTGAGATATTCCGAGATATTAGTCATAAAACGAGCACAAAAATATATAAATTTGTTTGAGCATGCAGCCCCGCAGCTCTCACTCATCCATCCCATCACTCTACGCCGTCTGTACACCTCAGTTTCAGAGTTAAGAAGATGGCGGCCAGGTCGTGCCGTTTTTATACGAGCTACTGCGTCCGCGTCCATGAAACTGGAAACCTAATTTTCTAGGGTAATCCTTGGCAGCAAAAGGCCAATGCTCACTTTGCTGTTGGGAAGATGGTTTGGTCTGCCCACCTGCCAACATAAATTATGCAGATCCTGCATACGTGCTTAGATGTAATTTTTCCCGACGTCGTGCACCCATAAAGGTTATACAGATACACACATGTATGTAAGGATGAGGAATATACTCAAAAATAAGCACATACGGACATACATACGTATATGATTGCTTGTGACTACGTGTAACAAGTAAAATGGTTTCAAAAAAAGTTTGCCCTGTATATACATATGTATATATATCTACTCGATAACACACATACATATATATACGTAAAAGTATTCGTGTATGCCACTCAGCTGGAGTAGAACCAACAGGCAACTGCATAAAAAGTTTTTGTCTGAAATTGCGAAAAAGCCAGCCAACCGAGATCAAAATCCTGTCAGCTAGTCTTGTAGTCCTGCAGCAGTCCGGCAAACCTCGCCTCGTTTATGTACGAAGTCAGCCAGCGTGTCCAGCATTTGGCTTATCCTTGATGAAACTAATCCCAACTTCGCCATTTTTATATGCATGTACTTCTGTGCGCAGCACACAAAAACTTTTGGCCAATCTTTTTACGACTTCATTTGCCAGTTGGCAGTTGGTGGTTGACAGCGCTGGGAGGTGGGTGAACAAGAGCAGCACGAAAAGTAATAAGTCACCGAGTCACGACAATGCCACGTTCTTAAGTCACCTACCCCCTCCCTCCTTACTTTCTTTTATTACCTCCCTATCTTTGCATTCGATTTTTTTGTCGTGTAAATTTTAGCTTGCACTGTGCAACAGCGTATTCGGTTGACGTCATAATTATACTTTTCAAAAATTTGAACAAGAAAAAGAATTTTACCAAGCTGATAGACTGACGCAGATAGTGACTAAATTTGGACCAAAATTTTCAATTTTCAAAAAAAATCTTTAATTACAATTTTTTGATTTCTATGAAAATGAGTGTCTTCCGCTTACGTAAATAGTGCTCGGTTCCTTTTTGTTAATTTTTTTTATCATTTGGCATGTTTCACGGTGTTGTATAGCGTTTGATGCAGCTGAAAATGATTTCATTCGGACCCCACCTTAATTAAACTAAACTTTTTTATATGCGCTTAGCCAACTGGCGCCTCTTGCCTTGCCCTAGCTACAGCTCCTGCCCCTCTTGCAATTTCGCGCTGGTTGCATTTCAAGTTTTGTAGCCGTGGCGTTTAAGGCGGCGACGAGGAGAAGCTGTCGTAAAAACCAAGATCGCTGTCCGCGCTGCTGGAGCCAAACGAAATTTCGCTGCGTTTCGCGTTATTGGGCAGAGCCATTCCGGTTGCCAAGAAACCATAGCGAAATACCAGCAAAAAAATCAAACGGAAAAGGCAGAAAAGAACGTAGACTCCACTGGAAGAAATGGTAGTAAAGCGAGAAGAAAACAAAAGTTTAATTTTTTAAAGTTTGGTTATTGTTTGTGTGAAGAGAATTTAATGTGAATCTTAGAAAGAAATTATGAAAGAGTTAACATTAGATATTGACCTGATCATCATTATCACTAATCACATAAATAAGGAATGCAGAGCAAACTTTTCACTAAAAACACCTACACTCACTAAAGAAAAAGCGTGGACTTTCTAATTACTGCTTTAATTGTCAGTGACTTTCCTGAATATACAAAACGATTGGGTTGGAAAACTTTCGGGTGGGAGAAACACTTTAGAGCACTTTAATTGATGTCTTCTGGGCTCTTATCTTATGTCGAGTGACTAGGATACATGAATTTGTCTCTGTGTATTTGCATGTGTGAGTATTTGTCTGGGCACCCGTATCGTAAACTTTCTTATGAGTTTCTAGTTTTGTGCTGAACATCAAAAACCCTTAGAGATGAATTTCAGTGCACGTTAAGCCAACAGAAAGTTCAAAACTATTTGAATCTGCAATAAAACAAACGCCCGCTAAAGAAGAAACCGACCAAATTATTCAAGTAAGTGTGCCAGATAAATGAGCTGAAAGGACAAACGGGCTGATAGTCAGGTCATAATTAATCGGTCTACATAGGCCTGTTCTCCTGCTTTTGGTTGGTTTTCATGTCAATCGAATGTGTGTTTGCATAAATTGCAAAAAAAAAATTAAACAAGCAAGAGGTTCTAGTCGGAAGCTCCCGACTAGGGGATACCCTGAACCCTCTTATTCCAACACCAAGTGCAGCTCGAGCTACGCGCTCGTTTGCTTTAGTAATAATAAAGATAAGTTAAAAATAAAAGTTTCCTAGGCTGGGTTCGAACTCGCAACTAACCTCATTACTTGCCGCCGCCTCTACTCAACAGCCTCACCAATTACTGAGTCTTATCGGGGAAAAAAAAACGAATTAAAATAGCAGCACAGAAAACAATACAATCGCAATTGCAATGCTGTTTATAGAATTCAAAGCGGACGCGCATGAGTGTGTGTGTGTGCAAGTATACAGAAATTCTTGGGCAGCCAAAATACATTTTCTTTTTTGTTTCTTAACCGATTATCTTGATGAAATTTTCAGCAGTAGATCTTATTGTACTAAAAAATATTCGTGTATTTTCAAAATGACAGTTGCATTTAAATTGTGGTTTATATTGGTGGTAAATTAGCTTGTTTACTTGATTTATAGCTGTGATGTAGTAGCGGGGAGGTGGTGATACTTGATATATATATACTACTCTAGGAGCTACATGTCAAGTATGGTGACTCTAGCTCTTATTATTTCCCAAAATTGATCAAAACATAGGATTTCGATATCGATTTTTGGAAACGGGGCAGGTTATCTAATATCGGAAACAAACTCGATCTGCGCGGGCACTAGGAGGACCTACAGCCAATTTCAGCTCTGTAGCTCTTATAAGTTCTGAGATCCTTGCGTTCAAACATACGGGCGGACGGACGGACGGACAGACAGACATGGCTAGATCGACTCGGCTATTGATGCTGATAAAGTATATATATACTTTATGCGGTCGGAGATGCTTCCTTCTGCCTGTTACATACATTTGCACAAATACATAATACCCTTTTTCAGGGTATAAAAAGCATGGAAACCTATTGCTGAGAATTTCAGCATGGAATGCCAAGAAAACGATTCCGCTTTCTAATTGAACCTTCACTGGGCTGGTCGGAGGGTGTTTGTGGATGTGGCTGTCATAAAACGTACCTCCATGTTGTTATTGGCTTCATCATTCAAACAAAACTGCCGGCTCCCCTTTGCAGCTATGTGTGCAGTAAATAAATTGAAATGAATTCAATTCGCAGCGGAATGTTTACAAGCGGACCGAGGAGACCATGCCAGAGACAAACAAATAAACAGGCAGACAAACGAGCGCACACCATCGGACAGAAGACATTGAATCGAGAACATGCCATTGACAAAATAAAAATAAACAAATTCAAAAGTCTTGGCATCCATCCGCCAACTCTGGCAGCCTTCGACTCCACTTGCCAGACGTCGTTCAGCCTGGCCAGCAACCTCTTCAGTTATCAATGGTAGTCATTGGCGCCCTGTCCCATTTACATCCACAACCATATCCTTGGTCTCCGGCATTTGTAGAGACAGGCCTACATAGTATATCGATGGATGTGCCCTCGCAAATGTCATTGGTATAATAAGCTGTTTGTTTTAATGGCACTTGTTTCTGGGCGCACTTTTGCCGTTTTGGCGCACAAACAAAAATAATGACACAGCTCTGGGCGAGGTCTTTACCGGGCCCACTCTTGGGCGGACAGCTGGATGGTCGGACAAAGCACAGAAAACAACATGCCATCATAACAACGACTTCATAAATTCGGCTTGCGTATTTATTTATAATAATTTATTTCAATAACAACGCCAGCCATTTTTCTCCATCTGTAGCTTCAACCCTAGCCACAGTCCCCGCTTAGCTACAGTCCCCTCATTTCCAAGCAGCCCAGCGTTATTCAGTTTCGTGGCTGTTGTTTCTTTTTTTCCTCACTTCAAATGACATTTCAAATATTTGTACAGTTTTCGTTGTCGTTGTGGGACTGCATAAATAGTCGAATATCAATTTATGCCTTTCTAAAATGGGAAAATTTGAGATTCGACTATTTGGGGTCCGGTCTAGTTTAACACTTTTGTAGAAAATATCTTTTTATACCCTGTACCAATTAAAAGTGGGTAAACATGGGTATAATATTTTTGTGCAAATCTATGTAACAAACTGGAGCACTACGCGAACCAGAAACTCAATACCTCTTATACCACATCTTGGATTTAAAGAAACACCAAACTAATTATGTTATTTTTATTATTTTATTTTATTTTTATTTTCCGATCTTCATCTTCAAGATCTACACTATGAGCTATGCGAAAACGCATTTCCCATATTTTGGGATTGAGTGTAACGTCCGCTGCTTTCGATGTGCGTTTTTCGGTTTATATAGACGTATGAGGGTATAATTGTTTTGTGGAAGGAATTATCTCCTACTAGATCAAAACGACCAGCAGTTCGTAGTAAAGACTTGAAATCTTACCGCATTTCAATCAGTATCAATAATAATCGACTTAGAGACATGGTCTTTTAAGAATAACTTAAAAGTTGGAGTTAATTGCACTTATGTAGGCACTCGTATAGTAAATACTTCTTGAATATTTCACCCTAATCGCCCCAAAGTTGAAAATATCTGTTTGAAATCTGGAGCATTGATCTTTAGAAGATTTCCACACTACGCTGCCATATTAGGCCGAAACATTTTTATAAGGACTGGAATATGTATAAAACCGGAACATATTTAAGAAAAATGTTTCGATAGAGAGCGGCAACGGAAGAGAAGCATAGACTCTTTATAAGTGCGCAGCAAGCGGCATGCTTGTGTATATGATTTGTGTTATATGTGCTGAGTCCAGTGTATCTCTTAATCGAGTATTCTTATTTATTTTTCTCGTTATATTATATATGCACTATGTATCGAAGACAGAACAAATGTATGTTAAGGTTACGAGGTATCTCCTAGTCAAACACTTCCGACTAAGGCAGTCTTTCTTGCTTTCATTATGTGAAAGTGTTTTTCTGACTATGTTGGACCCTCATGCATACTTCTATACATAGTTACGGCATTTAAGAAAAAAAAGAAAATTTCTAAGTGATTCTTAAAAGCTAAGGCGCCATTATTTTAATAGTATATAAACGAAATTTATGCTGGAGAGATCCCGTGAAAACAATACAAAAGCAAAATCTGGTCTATCGTCAGATTAATGAGCTTATGAGCTATACAATACTGCTAAGCTTAGGACCGTATCATCCATTCCCATTATCAAACTAATACCTTTTAGAACACCTATACCTCTATACAATATCTAATTCCCAATATTTACTATTATTTAAATTAAGAAAGACTCATCATGTTTGCGACCCATTTGAATAATTAAGTTGGGTGTGTATGGCCCAAAATATTAAGATAGAACGCAAGAATATATTCAACAATTGCAAAATAAACTCAACAAAGTCGACTTTATGGCAAATTTTCAATCAGTTCTCATGGTTCCGTCCTAAAATAAAACTTTCAAGCCTTTTCTCAGCTCAAAGCTTGACATGGCCACGCAATTTTTCTTAACGCCAAATAAAAATTCTTGCAGAACAGTTTTCCCCCTCTTGGATTTTGTATTCAAACTTAACGCCGCTCCGTGTTTTTGTGTAAGTCATTTACAGAATAGAATTCTTGATTAAATTGGAGTACATTTCGTGTTTCTCCCTCCTGGCCTGGCGTTAGCAATGGCGGCTTAAGAGCAGCAACACCAGCTCCCAACCTCTCATTTACCTAGCTCGGTGGCTGTTCAGGTGGGCGGGTCCCGATTTCAGCATATAAAACAGAGACTGAAGCAGAGGGATGCGGCGCGTGGTGTGCAGACTGCCTTTTTAAAGAATATATGCTGCATATTCAAGCGGCTGTCGGGCCCTCCTCGACTCACTAAACTCAACGTCAACGAAAAATTCAGGACCGAAAATTCTCGTACCTGTGTTTGTTGAAACATGCGAAACTTATTTTGCAAGTTTTATGTCCACGAGCAGCAGCTTTTATTTTTTCTCTGGCACATTTTACTTTTTTTTTTTTCAGCTCTGCACATTTTGCTCTTTGGCTCAAATTACAATTGCACTGAGCGAAAATGTGAAAGCCTTTCTTCAGAAAGCTTAACACTAGCCTTTTCTTTTCAATTTACTATCAACTTTTAGAGTATTACAATTTGGAGCTCAAGTTCATTGCCTTTTAATTTGTAAGACAACGGAGTTGAAACTGAATTGATTTATCTAACTAGCTGCTAGTTTCTTTGAGTGCAAAGCCTGCATAAAATCACCAGTAAGAAAACTTAGAAAGCCCTTGGTTTTGGAGCAGAAGAGGAATCCAGAACCGTGACATATCCACGCCTTTGGCTCGAGTTTGGGGCTGAGTTGCATGGCAAGATGCCATCGCTATTCAGATGGCTAGCAGCCGACAGAAACGTGAATGTCGATGGGGATGGGGCGATGGCAAGCCGAGCATAAAATGGTATTTCTAACCATCCTTTGAGCATGTAACGGGCGTGGCGAGAATTCTGCCTGTGTCACAAACATTGGACGCGGCCGGCTTAACTTATTCCCTTTTTGTGGATTAGGTGGAGTGAAGTCGAAGGCGATTTTAAATCATCAACTAACATCGATACACATCGATAAATCATTCGAGTTATGTCAATAAATATATATGCATTTAGAGATATAGCTTCAGAAATGCAGACACAGATACAATGTCACCTCCTTAAAACAAGCACACAAAGATAATGAGTTCAGCTAAAAACCCGAAAGCAACAGCATAAAAATGACGCACGAACACATGCGGCTGTCTAATGGCTTGTTTTGTTTGTGTAGTTGAGCGAGTTACGCGGCTAGAAGGCTGTGCACCAAATACGCAGCGGGAATGGCCTCGAGACAGGCTGCAAACAGGCAGCCGCAGCGGCACAAAAGCCGTTTGTTCTGGTCTTTAATAGTTTTATTGACCGAACCATGGAATCCTTTCAATATTAGATGTCGCTCCAGTTATGGATGTGCGCATGAAATACTAAATTTGAATCTCACAATCACTTGAAGGTCACTTGCCAGCAGTAAATTTTATCAGACTGCTCTCGTTTTCATGTGAAACGCGGCAGTGTTGCCCCTTTTATTGTTGTCCTGCTTTTTACAGTCCACATGACTGACGATTATGAAAGCCTTGAGAGCAATATTTAATATAATTACCGTTGCAATCCACAATTGAGAAATGACACCCTTAAATTTTCTAGTTTACAAATGACAGCACAGCCATGAAATCCGAACTCTTTGCTGCTCCGAATATATTGTCCTTGCCCATTGCCCAAATTGCCCAGATTGGCTTGCATAAGAAATCTTTCTGTTTTTGTATAGTCCAAACAGCCTACGCATACTTATGCTGAACATGCTTGAACTCCGAACTCATCATCATAAAACAAGGCAGCGACACTCACGAAACAAGGCACGACGGAACTATGAAAGGGATTGAGCAGCGATATTTGTGCCCAACTAAATTAGTGCAATTCAACACGACCTTACTCCATCTACCAATGCGGGGCTCCGTTAATACATAGCAATGAAGTAGAAAATACCGAAAAGCTCTAAGGCATCTCGCTATAGGCATCACGTCCTATCACATTGACATGCGAAGATGGGCTCGGATTAATGGCTAGCAACTGAAATGCCAACGAAACGGAAAACTAATTCCGTCGTTTGTGAGTTAAATAGCTGGCGCAGATCATCAGAAGCTGGAGGTGACCCTAACAGTGTTTGTTCACAGTGGCTACAGTTTGATATACATTTCGCCATTTGCAAAGTATTTTTGAACTCTGAAAATACACAAAAGATTATATATATATTATTATATAGACCGGCCTTGCCCGTGGCACGTATGAAATAAATTTTCTCAAAGAGCTTCAAAAACGATTTTGACAGTGATCGGACGGTAAACAAATAACTTTCAGACAAACGTTTTCCGCCAATTTACTACTGATGCGGGTGGAATTTTCCAAATCACTAAAACACGTATTCATTAAGATTTTGTGTTGAGCTATTAAAATAAGTTTGAAGCAAATCGGACACAACTTAAAACTTCGCCCAAAAAATCGTTGAATAGCACTTTCCACCGAGGAAGCTTTGATTTTGCGAAAAATGTGTAACACGTCTCAAATGATTTTTCATGTAGATCTTTGGAAACTTATTTGACCCCGAAACGTCCCCCACCAAATCTCTGACCCCCATTTCAACCGAGGAGGAATGGATTTTCCAAAAAGTGAGAAATCGCCCTCAATTGAATTGGAACAAAGATCTTTGAAAATGAGTTTGAGGCCGATCGGATGGTAAACAAAAAAATTGCATACATACGTTTTTCGCGATTTTTTCACACTGGTGGTTGGAATTTCCCGAAACCCCGCATTAGCGTGAACCTTCATCACATAAGGCAACTACAGTGAAACTTTCAGCTTCCTAGCATTTACGGTATGGGCTGTGCGTTGATCACCAATCAGTCAGTCTGTCAGTCAGGACAAATAGTTTTATATATAGAAATATAATACATAAGAATTTTTCATCTGTAGAATATGATAAATTGCATATCATTTAAAATATAATATCCCTATTCTAAAGACTTTTGTAGAAATAATTATAAATCGGAACTCAATAAAATATATTCCTGTTAAATTCGGCAATTTAATATAAATCTTTGTGCAAAAGAAAAAAGTATTTTTTGTATATATATATTCAAGTATCTGTTAATGCCTTAAGCCATTAAATGCGATTTTATTTTTATTTTAAAACCAACACTGGGTCTGGGTAAAGCCCATTAGCTTTATAAATTCCACGCTTGTACCACAGTGCACCGGTTACTTGATTGTGGGCACGTTTTTCCTACTGGGCCGAACATTTGCAGCTTAGATAAACGATTTCTAATAAAATACGGCATTGCCCGTCCGCCTGAAATACTATTTCTCCCGCCTAGGCGTGAGCTGTGTTTGGCTTCCTGCAAATCTTCCCGGGTCGATGACGGCTCCCGTTACCAGTATTTTTGGGAAGCAGCGGGGCTGCGATGTTATCAGGTTCAATTGATGCTGCCGCTTCGACTCCTGGTCCTGGTGTCAGTGGGGCATGACTTGCTGTTGTTGTCGCATAGAGGACGGTGATGATGGCGCTCGATGGGGCAATAAATTGCATTAAAATGCGCAACGCACAAACGCACGCCGCCTATTCCCCTCACACGGGATTTACTTCTAATGCTCCCAGCCGGCTACAGAACCTTGCCTGCCTCGACTTTGCCTAAGCGACGGCACTTATTTGTAGCCGCTTCTCGTTGCGTGTGTATGTTCGCGAACGGTGGGTTTGTCATGGGAAGGAATGGGCTCTGGGGAGGCGGCTCTTTTGTAGGTGGTTCCAAGGCAAGCGGTATTTTATTCATTTTCATTGGCAAATGTAAACGAGGCGTTTGTTTCTTTGTTTGTCAGCATCAAAAGCACGGAGATATACCAGGCATATAGTTTGTTTTTGGGATTGTGTTAGTATGTCAAATCTTAATAGGATTGGAAGTTTTCATTAGTTTCTTTCCCTTACAGCCTACAGGTTTCATGTTTATTTAAAGAATATTTTTAGTTACACATTGGTGATTTCAGAATTCCAGAAGTCATTAATTTTTACTGATTTGAGCACATCCATATTGAGATAAAACGAGCATATGATATAATTTTATAGAAAAACATGCAAGGTCCACTATCGCCTCATAAATCGACAAAAAAGAACCCAATCTCAGTCTCAAAGATGGTATCACGAAATTTGGTTGTTTATTCTATATGAACTTAAAGATCTAACATAAAACTTGTTCTGCCCCCTGAAAAAGCTGTGGGTTCACTCTATTTTCCAACTTGTTTTCAATACGAATATAGCGAATTTCCTACCGCGACTGCTGTGCTTACTTTAATTTCTTTAACATCATCTACTTGAAAACACTTACTTGATTCACGGGAATTATTGCTATATAAAAACAAAATAAAAAACATTCTAGATGATTGCAAATATAGTTAAATTTCCAAGTAAACTAAATTTAGCGTGTAACTTGAAGCAAATATATATTTTTTTTAAATTGGGCTATTTGTTGTCAGGAGCATTTTAACAAATAATAATATTAGCGCTCACAACATGTAAATAAACGAATTTTCGTTATAAAATCTGAGTAATATTCAACCGTTTTATTTTGTGCGTAGCTGTATACATATACACATATACAATTCCGTTAGAATTTATAGCCGCAAAAAATAATAAATTAACTATATGTATTTTTTTTAAATTTTTTAATTAACTTGTTTCTTTTAGTTAAAATCTACAAAATGCCGTCGGATAACACCAATGGCGGCAAATCAAGAACCTGCTCGCAGAATATGAGAGCAAACGGCGATGAGAGCGCCGACGCAATTATATGGAAGAAGAGAACGCGTTGTCATAGCAACGTCTGTGGCAGCCATCTTGGATGTGAGAGAGGACCGTCATGTAGCGGCCATGCTGTTGGCAAGCCACCGACACTCACCTGCGGCGGCGGCTATTGTGAAGTTCAGTGACGTGACTGAAATATCGGAACCAGAGCTGCCGCAGAGCAGGCAAATGTGGTTTGTGCTGGTGCGGCGACTTTTGCCAGGCCGCAGTGCCGCAGCTGCGACGTTCGCGGCGGTCGGTAAACGAGTGCGCCTGCGTTGTGCCCAGACTCCGACCTCGTCTGGCATGTGGAAAGATGGAAACAGAGACAGCGGCAGCGGCAGTGGCAGCGCAGCTGCTTTTTCGAGGTAAGTAACGGAATGAAATGAGGCGGTGGGCTAATGGTGCATACTGCTCTACCCAAGGCAATGCCATTCGTTGGGGGTTGAAATGTTCAGTGCGAGTGTTAAAATAAGTGAAAAGGAGATAGACATATGTCTATTGCGAAGTTAGAGGGTTGCAATCGGATACACGAACCATTTTGATGTTGTCTTTGCTAAGTGCAAAAGTGGCTGATAAAGTCAAATACGATTTTTAAGAAGTTAGAAACACTAATTGGATTTTTTTTATGAAGATTTAGTACATACATATATTGCATAGATATTTTGGTTTTTATTATCAGCACATACAAATTAAGTTTGGGTGTTTTTTAATATTTCTTTTTCTAAAGCACAGATGAAAATGTTGGAAATCAAAACGCGGTAGACGCTGCTTATGCTCGCTCACCAATACATGGAAAGCTCTCATCGCATTTGTGTTAGTGTTTGCGCTCTTTGGTATCCAATTGTGCTTGTGTGCGTGCGCGTTCTCTTAAGCAGTGGTCTCTTAAGAGCGGCAACCTGCATTGGTATTGGTAGTTGTGTGACGCTCTTTGCCGGCTCTGCCGCTCTCTTAAATGAGCTCTCTGCATGGGTGCACCTGTTCAAGCATTACTGACTCTCTTAGAGTCGCTTTTGCTTGTTGTGTTTCGCGTGCATTGTTTTGGTCTTCATGTACGCTCTACACTTTGCGCTCTTTTGTGAGTGCTCCCGTAATTTGCTTATTGGAAGCAGTTGTTGTGACTTCTATTGCACAGACCCACCCCTCTATACACAGTTAGCATGCCCAGTACGTCAGCCAATGCAACTTCTATTCCGATGGGATGCCGCAGCGCAGCTTGAAATCTTGTTAGAATTTATGAGAATCTCAAAGTCCTGCGCAAGTTTCTGAGCTTTGGGTAAATGCAATTTTCTTTTTTTACGATTTGCTCACGTTCATTGCATTCTTTTCGGTTCGGTTCGCTTTCACAACTTTTCGTCTTCGTCTCTGTGTTGCGCAACCCTTATAGGGATTTTGTTGCGCAGGAAAATATAATGCGCTCTTCCTCCATTTGGCAACAATCTTAGCTGCCGATGCAATTTAGCAATGCAACTCGGTGCTGGGTGGGTGATTGGCTGTGCATCTTAATAACAATACCCTCACTGCTGGCTGTTGGCTGCTGGCTACTGCTAATGCTGATAAGAATGATTGGCACAATTGCAACAAGAACAGCAGGAGCAAGAATTCATCAACACCAAACAATGCTTTTAGCAATGAGTTGCCTGGCTAGAATCCCATTTTACTATACCAGCTCGATTCTAATCGATTCTAACTGGATTCTTGCTTTTTGGTGGTTCGAGTCTGGACTAATAGTCAATGATAACCATAGAAGATACAAAATATCTATTATGTATATATTTTGATCGTTTGTTTGCTTTCTGCTCATGGCCCTATATCGATAACCATTTCCTTCTGTTCCATGTTCCATTTAATCGATGATGGAAAAGAAAGGGAAGAGTTTGCCACGCACTGTTATAAATTTGTGATAAAGTGAGTGAATTTCTACTTGCATTCCCAGTCGGAACAGCATTTCATTCGTCACAGCTTGACCTTAATGTGCCGAGCACGTAAATTTGTATACCAGAACAGACTGTAGGTATGTTTATTTATCAATACACACAATAAGTAACATATATATGAATATGTATTGCTCGTTAAAGTCCGCAAATGTATTAATTAATCTTCTAAAAGGAAAAAATCAAAATGAATGATTAAGATATTTGCGATATGCATTATGTTAAGTGTTAAGTAATATATATAGATTTTTCGATTTGTAATGTAAAAGGCATTCAATTTGATATTAATTTACTCACACGAATTTGAATGGGAACAATCATACTTTTACTTTTTCGAATCCATATTTAATAACAATCTTAAGTTGTTTAGCGAATCTTGGGATTGCTGTTTGCACCTCTGACGTCAGTTACGATTGTATCGCTTAGAGGAAATTGTCGTTAGCTATAAAACAAGTCGGAAAGGGAAAAAATTAAGTATGTGCAAAGTGCGATAAATAAACAGAACGAAAACTTAAAACCGAAATCAAATTGTAAATTGCTGTAAAATATTGTGGGTAAAGACATAAATCGCAGCAGCGCAAAGCTACCGTAAGCTCATTGGAAGCACTTCCCCTCGCCAGGATTGACAGGCAGGCCCGAGCGGGATTTGGTTCTCGAATCTTGTGTTGTGGACTGCTTGAACGGACGTCATAATCGTTTCAGTGACAAAGCATAAAATTTGAGTTTTACGATTTAACTGGGCTATAAAGCAGCCAATTAGTGTCAGTAGAGAAGACTAAACCGAAGACGGGCGCGAGCTCGGGGCTGCAGAAGTGGCTCGGGCATTGGCCATTGGCATTGCATTCAGATTGGTCCGAGAACCAGTCATGGCGGGGGAGGGTGACGAATGGAATTGGGACTTACGTATCTACCTTAGGGGCATTCACTCAGGTTGTGGATTCACCTCTTGCCTAGGGGCACAAGTGAGAAGTGCATTTAATTGTTTTATGATAATTTTGACAGCCCATTAAAAGTATTGAGGCCCACTCTGAATTCCAGTAGCTTTTCATTTGGCTGGAAAACTGCTGCCAGCTAAGTGCATAACTTTACGTTGCGATCAAGTAACTTTTTAAGGTGCTGCCCAATATACGACTTTTTCGACACACGCAACCATCACGAGCCCATAGTCGTACCATTTCTCTGTCTCAGTATCAATCCCAGTTCCTGTCCAAGTGCGAGTCTCAATGTGTAGAACAGCAGCGGGCCATAAAAGTGATGACAATTCGTTATTTTTTTTTATGACAAAGCTTCGTGGCGTCGCCTGCGGTCTCGCAGCACAGGTGCGTCCGGACGGGATGGTGAGCGGTGCGGTGTCGGGGCGGGGCGGGGCGTTGTGCGGCAAGTAAATATGTCTGTTCCTTAATATTGTTGCGTTCTTGAATAATTTGTATTGCTGTAAAACACAATGGCAATTGTTGGTGCTGCGGTTTGTCAGTTGTGGCCTTCAATGTATTTATTACAGTGGGCGAAAATCGACTGCATAACTTTAAAATATTCCTAGCACAGTTTAGCTATAGTCGCAGTTCTTTCATTCCAATCAAACTTTGTAACAAAAATTAATATTAAAATGATATTCAAGTTTATTCGCCACAGAATTCTAATATAATATAATCTAATGTCTCTGTTAAAATTAATTTGATTTAAAACAAGATATTCCAATTCAAATAAGCATTCCCTTATTCCTATGCAACCCTGAACAAGTCCTGCATATCGAGCAAGTAGTTAACATTCGCAACATCCAAAATTCAGACAAATTACTAGAAATGTGGGTGAATAACATTTGTATGTTGATCGTATTCATTAAAAAGTACCAATCAATATTATTTTATTTTTATTTATGCCTCTTACATTTGATATATAGAAACTTACGAAATTTTAAAACTGAGCATAGTTTGTATTCTATAATTAAGATATCAAATAATATGCACCGATTGTTGAACGCTCGTATCTATAATGGGCCCGAGTCTAATAGAAATGGTTACGGTGCACTTGCGTCCAATTTGAATTGCATTGGCAATCGATTGAATTTACCGACATGGTACCATGGCCTCTTGGGCTCCACTCAACAATCTAATCAAGAGAACGGTAGCTAATTGGCATTGGCACTGGCTAGGAAAGCCTGGGCATAGTTAGCTGGGGCAATGTTTATTTGTGAATGTATCTTCCACTGGAGTGTGTGGCACTGACTGTTGAGGCACTTGATGGCATTTACTGCATAACTTTGCCTTTAACTTCAACTTCGGCGTACAAATAGGTCGTAGGCTCGTGTACTGTTAAAACAAATAAAATGGCTCACAGCCCGCAATGTGAATGTGCACCTAATTTCAAATCAAATAAACATACTAAAAACAGAGGCAGAACAACAACAACCCAGGAACGCAGGAAAAGCAGGCACAGATGTCGGCCATGCCAATGGCTTGAACCTCAAGCTAAAGACCCCAGCCAGGTGAAGTGAGTAAACAAAAATGAAGAATGTTCGCTGATTGATATTATCCGGTGCTTACTACAACACATGCTCACACACACACATATATATGTATATATAGACAGACAGAATGGTAATCGAGAATGAATTTCCATTTAGCATTTCCGTTGCGGCCATATTTCATTTACGCTGTCAACATAAGTAGCGACCGCGATTGTAAGGCATTTAGTATGTGCTGTAGATATTGTATCTTATTAGCATTCCATTTAAATATAACCACGGCTAACATATACCAGGCCTATTCACCTTATCAAGTAGCTCATTCGCATCTTAGTATACAATGGGTAGATCCCTGACAAATCCAGTCAGCGTTGCCTTATCATTAATAATAAAATATTACAAAAAAAAATTGCATTTGAGTTGACACCAAAAGAACTTACGACGACATACGTTAAAACTGCTAAAACTGCTTTCTTGTGGTATTTAATTAGAAATTAATATAAATGAAATAAAGAAATTCAAATTATTGCCATGTATCTGGAATGTGAAGTTCATTTTTTGCAATTTACTGTATAAATGTAGGTACTTTTCTTAAATTATTTTCCTTTTCAGTAGCTGAAATGAAAAGTACAAAAGCCAAATCATTTAATTTAGTTGAAAGCTTTTGAAGTTCACCGTGGATTCATCTTATTTTCTCTCTGCATTCTCCTTTACTTATTTGCTATGATAAAATTAAATATTTTTACTAGACTCAATGTTGAAGAAAGCAAAGGAAAAGCAAACGAGAAATGGGAAACTTAAAATATATTTGACGTGACCCGCCAAAGACATAAATATATACATACAGATTGTGAAATGAGAATGCGTGTGTATCTGGAAAATGTCTAGAAGCGATTTACTTAAGTTTCCTTTTCGGTTTCTGGCGTTCTGCCTATGTTTTTTTTTTCACTCGATGTATCTATACCCTGTACATTCTGAAAATGGATGATATATTTAAGTTGTGCCATCATATGTAAGGGGCAGAACAAGGTATCTTCGTCTTCATAAAGAAGGCTCCTTTATGTGATAACAGAAACACAGACAAAGAAATTGTCATACCATGGATATCTTTATCCACTTTACTAAAAAAATTAAGAATACAATTTCTAATATTTCCTTAGGAACTGTAGATTTTATAATAAGCGGACAAGGAATTCAGAAGATTTTAAGTAATCTTTTCTCTTATGGGGGGCTTAGTCTGTGCTCAGATTCCCATGCAGTTGTTTGCTGAGTACAGGTCACTTCCTGGTCGGCTATCCTCGACTAGAGCGTACATGCTTGTAATACTGTTGCGTATGATGTTTTTCCTTTTCGATTTATTTTTCGTTGAGTTTCCATTTCTCTCCTTGCCAGTGGAAACAACAAAAGCAAAACTATCATCACCATTCCATTATCCCATTATCATCATGGACATGCTCCTTTGTTGTACTGTTGTTGTTGATATTGTGTTTGCTGTTTCTGTTGCCAATTTGTGTTGTTTCCATTTCATTCAGTCCTCAGCCATCCCCATCTTCGTCAATCCAATGCTTCAAGTATGAAACACGTACTCTCGGTTGAGCAATATATGTATTTGTGTGTATTGGCATGTAGTTCTCGTACTCTGCACCTAGGTGTTCATCTACTATATACTAGGGTATATATGTATATGTATATATATTTCGTATTTTTGTACTTCAACTTCTCATTTATTCTCGACTCGTACTTGACTCGTTCGCATTTTCGTTTCGCAACATAATTTTGCGTGCAACGACGACAAAAAAACATAGGGAAACAACGCCGAAAATCACGTTCCAAGAATACCACTTGGGACAAGGAAAAAAAATAAATAATAATAATACTGAAAGTCACAGCAGATTCCTTACCAATGCCAATCACTCCAACTTCAGACGTGCCAGCGTAGACCCAACCACCCAGAACGCCCACACAGTCGGTTCTAATTTTGAGTCGGGCCCACATTTTCTAAATGTGCTGTAAACAAAGCACGCACCAATTTGCAAGTGGCAGATAATGAAAGAGAAACCACTCAAGCAGCACCTGAAAGCCAACTACCTATGAAGGTCTGATCATTAAGCTATGCTCTGAGACATTTAAGGCGAACGAGTTGACAATGTTTATCTTAAACCAGCAACTAAAGCTAAACTAGAGACTAATCCACAGAGGACTTAAAACTTAAAAGCTTATTTTCAGTTTAATCCAGGAAAATGCAAATTATTATAAATAATATAAATATCCGATGATAAACAAATGGTTATGAATATTAATATGTAAATTAAAATATACCGAAATTTAGCACCCACCAACGGTGTTATCATGTTTCCAAGCATAAATGAATTAACATATATAAACATATTCACATTTCTATATAATCTCATGTGAATTATTAGTTTTTCTTGGCAATAAATGGTCCAATAATATGTGAATCCGAGCGCGTAATTAGTAATCGTTGTAAATATTTCGGTTAAATGGAGTCTTTTGAGAAGAACAATGAATTTAAAACGACATAAAAAATGTCATAACATCTTCGACATAAATAATGAAACTTTAAGCGATAAATGCGTCTGATGTGTTGAAAGCCTATTTGATTGGTCTTAATTGTATTTCGTCTACTATTTGCATACGTTTATTTCGAAAGAAGGAACTTTTAAAAATGCAGTTGAACTAATTAATTCCGCAACGTGCGGGAAAGTTAATTGTGCGACCGAGGCTCGCTGATGCAAAGGACGAATTTGCTTTAGTAATGTTTTAAGTCATTCTCCAAGCCGAGCTCTGAGCTGCTGCTTATCTGCAGTGCATAAAACCAAGTGAGGCAGCAACATCACTGCAGCACCCACTGCACAGCTGTCAGCCATGGATGCCATTGCTATTGCCGTTGCCGTTGCCGTTGCCGTAGCCGTCGCCGCTATTGCTGTTGCCTGTGATGCAGTTCAGTAGTGTCGTCTCACTCACTCCTTCGCTTATTTGTATAGTGAGTACGTGCCACGAAATACCATAGCAGAGCTGCACTTGGATTTATTCTGGAACCGGTAGCCGTCGAACAGCACGTACACACATACATACACATACACAAGGTGCCAGACTCGTTCGTTGCTCATCCAGATGCGTCCCAGCCCATTTGAAGATATCGTTGCAATATGGTTGGCATTTGGTTCAACCACACTTTAACCTTTGCACACACACACCCACACGCCCACATTTCTAAATACTTATATAAAATGATGAAATGCGGCAGTGCGACAAATCGCACATGCGCACTGCCAATCAAATAACACTGTGTCACAAAATGTACATTTTTTGGCGCTAAGACTATGAACAAACTACAGCTCTAAAAACTTAAATTCTTGAACATATTATTTTTTTTTTCATTTTTAAATTTACTTTTCAACTTTTCTGAGGGAGAGAGAGAACTTTCTTAAATATAGCTATTTATATGTAATAAGACAAACCCAAGTAGAAGTATTCTAGTCGGAAATGCCCGTCTGGGAGATACCCTAAACCCTGCATCGGGTTATTTTTATAAGCATTCTTTTCAATACCCAAATAAAGTTTTCGAGATCGACATATTTACACCGACAGAAAGGCGGACATATGAACAGTCTCCTGATCAAGAATGTTCATACTTTCTGGGGAGAAGAAATGCTTTATTCTGCTACTATAAATATAAACAAGTAAGAGGTTCTAGTCGGGAGCTCACGACTAGGCGATACCCTGAACCCTCTTCTTCCGACAGGCGATAGGTATAAAAAGAAAAATACTTGATATATATGTATATACTATTCTAGAAGCTACATGTCAAGTTTGGTGACTCTAGCTCTTATCATTTGCCGAAATTGCCCAAAAAAACAGGATTTCGATATCGATTTTTATCGATTACTTGGAAACGGGGCAAGTTATCGAATATTGGAAACAAACTCGATCTGCGCGGGGACTAGGAGGACCTACAGTTAATTTCAAGTCTCTAGCTCTTATAGGTTCTGAGATCCTTGCGTTCATATATACGGACAGACAGACAAACAGGCAGACGGACACGGCTAGATCGATTCGGCTAGTGATGCTGATCAAGAATATATATACTTTATGGGGTCGGAGATGCTTCCTTCTGCCTGTTACATACATTTTCTCAAATATATTTTCAATGGGTTCAGGGTATAAAAAAGATATATACAAAATTCTTCGTCAATACGGGCCTTCAGTACAACACAACAGTAGGGCACAGTATTTAATCATTTTGCATGTTGCGTAGTGTTAAAGCTGTATACTTTCAACTGAAGAGGACACAAGAGGCTCACAAAAATAGTGGGAAATTAAACCTTCAGGTAAAATCTAATTTATATTGATAATTTAATTATTTCACATGTGACATTATATAGTATAAATATCTAAATCTAGTCTGCTATATAATCATATATATTTATATTCTTTGTTATCAACGCACAGTGGTGCATAGCAAAAACCTAGCTCTTATTGTCTCTGGGATCGGGAATGGCAACATCGACTCGGCCGTTAATGATGAGCAAGAATATTTGTCTACTCTATGGGGTCGGAGATGTTTCCTTACATACATGGAAGCATACGCTTCTAGAAAGCCATTACACTCTTTTTCAGGGTATGAAATTACCAAATAGCAACCGATTACTATGATTTTCCGGCCAATAAAAACGAAATCTTTATTATAGTTAGGAATGCATAGCTTATACATATGTATATGGGCAATGCTATCAGAGCATTGTACAATAAAGTCATTATTCAGAGACGCATCTAATGGATACTTATTTTAAATAAAATAAGTTCTCTAAGGACTTAAGTTGCAGTCTTTAAGTAAAATATATACGTACGCATGGCCCATTTGCTGGCAATGGGTGTGGCAATACGACTGTAATATTTATTATAATTCCATACACAAAACCCGTTCCCCTCGATTGGCCAGCTAATCGGCTTTGCCAAAGTTGCACTTTATGCATTTTAGTGTAGCAGCGAACTGTGTCCAGCAGTGAGCCATTGCCGCTGGGGACTGCCACACCTCCTGCGATGCAACAGTGGCGCATTTTTACTTGAAATTAAAAAATGATAAAATATGAAATAAAGTGCATATGTGATTTTTTTGAGGAAATATTGGACAGCTTCTACAGCAGCATCTGCTGTTTTGGGTTCGTTGATCCGCCCTGCAGAGTTAAGAGTTGGGCTCTCCATAACATTTATAATTTAAAGCTTCAATGCGGAACTTCTAGCTGGACCCAGGCCATAACTATAAATAGAGTTGGGGAGATCTTAGGCGATTGGTCTATAAAATCAATTTTGCAGACAGACGGCAATCAATTGACATAACAAAGAATCTCTCTGAAAACAAATGCAGCTGGCGATTGCAAATATTTGTGCTGGCCGGCAGCATGTGGTCCATGGGCGCATGGCCCATATTCAGAGCCACAGGCAGCGCCAGAAGTAGGCAGATCGCAGACCACCAAGCAGCCAACCTTTTAACCCGTTCGCTGAAAACCAATTGAGACGGAGAACAGAGGACGGAAAAAATTCAGCTAGAATATTGCAGTTTTTATGGCTGTCATAAACGGAGGCTACGCGCGGTTCGTACTTTCACTTTTCTGTCATGAACACAAAAGCAACGACGGCGACGTCGTGGTTCCTGGAACATTAGAGACGCTTCATTTTTTGACGAAAATTTCTTGGTTTTCTGCATTTGGTAATTGTATTTGGAGCGGCACAACCCAGGCAGAACCCTTTCGCAGCTGCTGTGCGCTGCCTGAGCCTGGCAGGGAAGTTCTACTTCCACAGCGGGTGTCATGGAGTGTACATCAGGTAGTTCTGAACGGAAAGTATAAGTTTCGTTTGTACGGTCAATGTCTGAGTATAACAGACATGTATACTGCAAAACTTAATGCCAACAATCCCGTAGTTTGCATCTTTTTGAGCTTATCAGTTAATTGACCACGCAAGGAACAGAAGCTACATATTTATTTAATTCCAGAAAAACACTCAAACGCTAATTGCATAATCCGTATTCATATAAAACAAAACAAAATACAGCAACTTGAAGTAAAATTTAAAACGATTTGATCATGACTATATTTATTTATTTTAGCATATAATAAATACATTCGAGAGAATACCAATGTAATTGGACCTCTCATTTTAAAGAAACCCATAGATGGCTTTTAAAACCTATTGGTTCTTCATTCATCAAATATCCAATTAGGTCAGCAGTCTCGGCCACCATTTCGATAGCAGCGTTCATAAGAGTAAATTCAAGAAATCAACGCCAAGAGTGGGGAACATTGTCAAACTTTTTCTTTGGCTGCTAATCTTCTGAAAATGGAAAATACTAATGAGAAAGTTTGGCGGTCTTGGACTATGAAGAGATTTTATGGTATTTCCATATCGCCAGCTACACATTCAAACATAAACAGACTAAGTCAGTTCCCGGCCTGATGCGATAATTGGTTGTCATGCTCCGAGCTGCCTCATTATGAAAATGTAACCAGACACAGACGCGAATAAACAAAGTGCTAAAGTTAAGACAGGAGCAGGAGGTCCAAGCGAAATTAGACGGCAGACAGTCAACTCTGTCATATACAGCTGCCAGCTGAGTAATACGGGATAAGTGTTCCTTTGCATGTGTCCATGTTCCTGGCACAGTCTGGGGAATGCTTAACTAGAATTTATGCACACGAGCATATTCCATTGGGGAATATGGTTAGGCCGGTGAGTTAAAGTTGGGAAATATATTTTACTAATAAACTACAACCAAGCAGCCGCAAGAGAAACAACACAGCTAAAAAGTTTGCCAAAAAGCAGCCGAAAAAATAATACACACTCGTATGAAAAAATATGATGACGTCGTTGAATAGCAATGGAGCGGGATGAATATAGATGGATGCTTGGAAGCCTTGTGCTGGTCAATTGCGCGTTCTCGTTTGTTATGCGCTACGCCCGGGTGGTTAGTGGGATGGGTGGTCGGGAGTCTGATGAACAAACAAGCGACCATTCGACGGCGATGGCTACTGTAGGCACACACTGCTTTTGAGGAGAAGAATCGGAACGGGTGGGGTTGAAGGCATCTCCAGGCTAAAGGGCCACTATATGACCTATAAAAGTAACGCAAGCATGTTAAGAGTGTGGGGGTGGGGTGTGACAAGTGTGGCCATCGCATCGCGTCGCGACGTCGTAATCAAATAAGCGGCGAGTAATGGAGCGCACGGCAGCACAGGGACACAAGTGTGCGGCACAGAACTGGACCCAATGGGATATGAATGCATCAGCGACGCACTCTTCTACATATTCCCCACATCAATATAAAAACTTTTTCTTGTATCGCTCCTGCCTGATCCCAGCCAGGAAACCAACTATAAACTTATTGTATTCTATTTTTGTTTTCCCCAAACAAGACAGCGGACATTTTCGCCACATCCCGCCCTAAAGAGGAGCGCGCAATGACTGTGGAAAAATGAAATAAAATGATAAGCGTGAAATAATAATGAGAAGCGTGTTCCGGCATAAATCTGCCCGGGTCTTTCAAATTTATTTAAATTCAATGGCGCTTTTGCAATGAAAGGGTTACCCTTGCAATGGGTGCCATAATTTTGTTCCGAAACATGTGACGCATTCGCATATGTCAAACCCCAATATATATATTTTCCACTCGCATCGATAGCTCATTCGATATATCGGTTTCTATCGGTATATTCGTCTATCGGTTTCTTAGCAAACTAATCTGCCAGTTTTAAAACTATAACGTCAGAAAACTTTACGTAGGTTTGTTTTTATTTTTGTTTTTTGCATACAGTACAAAGTTTAGTTTTCTTGGCAAAGATCAGTAGAAAATGTAATTTTTATTAAAGAAGGACGCCCGGCCCGGCACGTTCGCTACACAAATTTTTAAATAACCCAGCCTTCAAGCAAAAAAAACCATTTTCAAAGTAATTCTCTTGTTGCGAATTTTTTGTGAGAGCACCTTATTGTATTTTGGTGAATACATATATACAATAAAGCGGATTGAATAAACTATGATATTCAGTTATTGGCTATATGACGTAGCTTTTTTTTACCATACATCCGCCATATGTCTAAAAGGGTATTTAAATATCGCCACCCAAAAGATAACTCTTCTTCCTTTTTTTAAAGGCGTTTTGTATGATAATGCCCATGTGTGAGGTAATGGGGCGAGAGAACCACTCTCGTAAATTTCTGTTAAGTGATGTGTACATCGTTTTTGAGTGGGACAATATTTTATGCATTCACAGGCAACTGAATTTTCGGATGGAGCTTTCATAATTATCGCAATTATATATATTTGTAAATTTTGATTAAATTTAATTCAATTGTTTTAAATTTATAATCCGCAAAATTCCGAGGGGATAGATATGTTAATACAAGGCTGTTTTACCTGGCTATCACGTCGAAATTTGTCCTTTTCTGCCATGATATTTAAAAGTTATTTTACTCTGTTAACGGAAAGACGTATTCGAACCGTTATAGAACCATTAAAAAAATCTATATGTATCTATATATAATTTCGATGAGTTATAATCTTGGATAAGTTAGATCGGGTACAATTTATTTTTATTTAACATTTAATACAAATTAATTTCATTAAATTATAATTTTATTAAGCATTTGTTCCAGAAAAACCGTCATCACCAGCAATTTATTGATGTACTTTAAACAAAAAAATAAAAATCCTATAAGCTTAAAGAGGTTATTTAATTAACTGCCTTGTTCTCCATTTCATTTCAGGTGGATTTTATTTTTACAGTGACCGCCCGAAGAGACGAGACTTTGGACGACAGCTGTTACGGGTAAGTCTATCCCACATGCCAACATATATAAATGAACCAAATAAAAGTAACAATATATGGCATCAGGCGAACTATCAATTTAAACTGTGGAGCAGGTGCATCTAGCAGATACAACACAGACTTCAGCCCTTAAGGCGCACAACTTTCTTATTATGCTTCCGTTTTTATTTGCCAACATGATTTTTGCTAAATTACAATCCCGAGGCAATAGCAATGCGTGTGGCATATGAAATAGTTGGGCACGAGTTTTTGTACCTTTTGCCATTTATTTTTCACATTCGCCTGGCCAAATGCCGACTCGATATGAAAAAGGCAAAAGTTGATCAAATAAATGGCGAAATTTCCATATCCTGACGATAAGCTCTGGAACGTGTTTTCATATGTAGCTGCGCTCAAAGATTTCCATCAATCGAGCATAGCTATCTACAGACTAAGCAGCCCAACAACCCACCAGTCAGCGGCCAAGTATCAACTTGTGCGATTCTCCAGCTCAGGGTGGTTGCTTTGTGTTGTGCATGGCTAGCCCTGCCGATTCCATTAGGGCGGAGGCCAGGATGGGGATAACGATGGCGGCAGGTACAACCCTCATCGTTTAACTAACTAAATGGGTTGGCTGACGAACGTGACTCGCAAAACCTTTGGTTCGAAAGCGTCAGCCCATGCTACTATTCCAAACTCCAGGTACAAGTTCAGCAATGCGAGGAGAACAATGGACTCTGCTCAGCACAAAGCCAAGAATATGAGAAAATGTTTTTTTTTTTAAGTATTTGGAAATATATTATTTGATATAAACCCTATATTTTTTAACGGGACATTAATCGGAACTAAGTATACATATGGGAACCATTTAAACTCTACAAAAAGGAAAAAATTAATTTGTGGTTAGAACTTATATTTTAAACTGTTCAACTTACTGTATTTGACTAACTTACTAACTTGAATTTCTGTCATTTAATATACGATTTTGATTTATCAATTGTTTTAGCTTTCCCTCAATTTTGTGCCATTGTTCTTTTTCATTTAATTAATAGCTGCCGCCAAAGCCAGTCACGACTTCGAGCTGGGGCAACTAATGAGGAATACATGTAACTACATGTGGTTACGAAATATCAACGTATGGCCCGCACCAGTTTATCGCATTGCCAATGCCATTGTCACACTGCTCCAGCTCGTCCTACAGCTACGGCTGCGATTTTGTTTTCTGAATCAATGCTGGGATACAACCCTAGAAATTTAATAAACACGCAAGTGCACGGAAGTAAATTATCCCGTCAGTCAATTATGTAAGCTGCACCCCCTCCGTCCACTCAAATTAACACGAGTTATGTAAGCGCAGTGTCAGCTTTTACTCTGGCCGTGGACCTGTCTGCTTAAACCCCTGCCGCACATCTGTCTGAGGTAGATGGTTGTCGTCTTTAGAAGCCACATAAATAAATACCTCGTTTATTTGCTTGCCTGGGCTTGCGTGCGGTTTGAACTCCCGAGTTCTTTCCGGTTGTTGTTTCCTTAAGCTTTATCCACAGCCGTTTCAATTGGTTGCTTTATTTGTGGTCGCAATTTGCCAGTGTTTTTACTTTTAATTAAACGCTTTTCCGTTCTCCCCTCTTCGCCGAAAATACTCAAATTAAATATGCCACACTTTGACTCATAAGAAAACTTCTATGGGCCTGTTGTAACTAACAATTAATTCGATCCAAATAAAGTGTGTACTTCAAATGAACGTTATTTAACACTCAAGTTTGCCATCCTTTATCTGTAGAAAAGACATTTAATTAAAATATAAACAAAACATTAAAGATAAACAAATGAAAAATATCTTTGACACATATGTTGACACTAAATACTTCATAATGCTTATTACGTGATCTGTATATATATTTAAAGTCAATTTAATTTATTGCACACATAATGCGAGGGTTAAGTTTCGACTTTTATATCGTATAGTTTTAGTATTTACTGTCATAGCCGTCGGTCAAAGCATTTTATTATATTTAAAAAGAATTTGGTTAATAGTTAAGCAACTATGTATCTGATATAGGTCGATACTATTAGAGTGTGTCTAAACTTATATACGAATTCCAGAAAGAAGAAAAAAGCTTTAGACCCTTTGTAGACATATTATTTACGGTTGCGCAGATATTTGTAGAGAATTGTCAAGCTCGTTTTGTACAGCTACTTTCAAAACTAGAAAAGTTGCTTATACTGATCAAGAATATATATATATTTATCGGATTCGAGATGTCTCCTTCTATGCAAGGGTATACAAATCTATTGATCCATTTTAAATTGGATGTACCTTATGGCTTTATTATTACCTACTGCTTCAACCACATACGTCCGTCTAAATATATGTTTGAGTAAGTTCGTCAAAGTTAAGAATTTGAAGTTTTTTCTTTAAGCGAAATCGAATTGTTCATTTGCCTCAGTTGACAAGTCATCTTGTCCTTTTATTCGGCATATTCGCTATGCAGTCAAAAATATGACAAATCTGATTATCTTCGCGGACAAGCTTTCCATGGTTGCACCACTTAAAAACTACATACAGTTAGTTCTTATTTCAAGCCTGATTAATCTAAGATTAGATTAAAATAAAACCTGAACTTTTTTAATTTGCATTTGAGATTAGTAATAAATAAACATCTGATTGATTTCTGCTGCTTCGCAATCCGCTGTTGTTTATAATATCCACCAAAGCGCACGGAATGCTTCCGAAATTTGGTTAAACAATGTAGAAATTGTATAAATACATTCGTACATGTGTACACATATTTATGTATCTTCGGCAGCGAAATGAACCGGTAGCAAATAATGGAAAGAGAAGCAAGTTTCTGGCTTGCCATGTCGATGATCTTTTGAATAAATAACAAAATTACTTCTGCAGTGGATGGCTACCAGTGTGTACAAAGTCTAAATTCTACTAATAATTAGAAAATACTCTCTAAAGATACATAGTGTTATTATGCATTGTTGACTTTCAGATTTTTATTTCAAATATGTAAATGCATTCTCACGACAATAGTTAATTATAAAATTTGGGTATTTTGTATGTATTAGGTAACTGGAAATATACATACCTGTGTAACGATCAGAACTGGTAAATAAAATCATTGGTCGGTTGCGGTACCAAAAAGTATTCGTTTCATTCTTGTTTTTTTTTCGGAGCTCATTTGAAATTTTAATTAGCATTTCGAGCTGCCAATTGCAAAGCGGAATTAAATTAATTTCAGTAATTTTGCAGCGAAATTAGCATGAGCTAAGCGTACCGCCTCAGGAGGGCTCTTGGGAGCCCTAATTACATTAGAGATGCGCAATTAGAGGCCCTGCAAATTTCATCAGAGGCAGACAGACAGGACCGCCTTAGGCAAAGGGTTGCTCCTTAGCTCCAGTGCCCAATGAGCCAAAGTTTATTAAGCAGCAGAAGGTATTACCAATTGGCCCTTTCGTCTATCTTTAATGACAAGAAGCCGAGCTGTGGATTTTTGAAAGAGCAATCGTAAAACTGAATTATTATTTTACAGTGCAAGGGGCTAGACGAACCAAGTATTTCCAGCTGTTCAATGATTAAACTTGACACAGTTCTGTATTCGTGATGCTCCAAATTGGAAGTAACTTTGATTAATTTAAATCAACATTTTGAAAGCTGCACTTATTTCATACAATAACTGCAGCAGAAGCATCGGATAGAACTGTGAATATCGGCAAAATTTGCAATCACCACGAACCAGGGAGCTAACCTTTATCGCTTAACAGCTAGACCCCAAAATTGAATACCTAATTCGAACTGAAGCATTAACAACCACTGTACTTCTGTTGAGGCTTCTTCATGCAAGCACACATATTTCTTACACGCTACTCAAGTCGCACACACTGTGCATCCTTTTCGCTCGCTCCGTTGGTTGGAGGGAGAGCACAACTCTCACGCGGCAAGCGGCGGCCATTGATATAGGCGGCCAGCCGAGCTGCTTTTACCTCCCCCCGGGTGCACAAACCAAGACATCCCCAACCCAAGACGACGCCTCATATCAATGCAGAGTAAAATCTTGGCCAAAACAGTGGGTAGACAGACGGCATTTGACGAGGGGCTGACGTTAAAAAATCTGTTCTTTTTTCTTGTTACTGTACTATATTCTTCTGCTGATGCTGTGGAATTTAATTTATATTCTAGACCGAGAATACTGCGGCCGCATAAGAACAAAATAAAACGTTGTTTGTATTTGTGTCTATGTGTGCGCGTCTGTGTGGGTGTGCCTAGGGCACATTCTCACGAAACACCAAAAACATTATGTGTGTGTGTCGGCACATTTATATACATTTTTTAATGCACTCACAAAAGATACAAAAAATGTGGAATTTTATTTTAAGGTCGGCAAAAACATAAATTGAAACTATTTTTTATTTTACTTCGACTTACACAAGTACTCGCAACGTACATAGATTGCTTGTCAACAAAGCAAATAAAAATTCTGCACAATTCATGGATTAATGCTGTCCCTCTAACAAATTAACCCTTAAGATAAAAACAAACTTCAGAGCTGACCATTAAATTTGCATGCTTTTTGTCTTAAGGGTCCAATTATGTTGCAACAAGATCTACTTGGCTAACTACGAAGAGACATTACAATGAAGGCGATTGTGCATTGTGAATTATGAATGATAAATGGTGAGCAGAAGTCGTGCAATGAACCCGCCTTTGTATACCAACTAAGAGTAAAGTTTAAGATGAGCTGCATCCAATTGGCATAGGAATTGCCAATTGTGGAATAAGCCAACTTTACGTTGTTTATGGACAAAACTTCGTGGCTCGTCAGGGCAGCACAATATTTTTAAAAAATTTATATAATGAACATAGTTGGGGGAGCAAACTAGAAGTATCCACTATCATCCCTCAGCCTGAAGCGCTGTTCGCCTAGCGCTCGTCCTGACGTAACTGAAAATGGCGTGGCTTGGAGAGAGATAACAACTTGAGGGAGCAATCGTAGGTTTTATCATGGGGGATTTATGTTATATGATGGCAGGTTGCCAAGCTGCAGCTACAAACTACAGACGGGACAGATGTAGACAGATGAAGACGAAGCCTTGGCTGCCAACATATCTCTTGGTGTATGCTGCTGTTTTTCATTTGTTTTATTTTCTCTCATTTTCTTGTATGTTTTTTACAATTCGTTCTCGAGTACACCGGATAGGAAAAGTTGAGCTAGTCATGAGCAAGATTGAACAGTGGATGAAGATTGGTAAAATAATTTGGAGCTTTGAATGTAAAATAATTGGATACTTCACATATAAGTTACTCCAGAGTTAGCTATCCAAAGCAAGGAGCAGCACAAAGAAAGAGTGCAGATACTGCACTTGAATGCCATTAATGTATTTACGTATAATTTAAATGTGAACTGGTTTGTTTTGTGCCAATAAAAAGCACTTAAATTCTATAAACTCAAAAATTATGTGTCAATTGAATTAGATATATTTTCGAATCTAGTTAGATAAAGCTAAACAAGTATTTATCTAAAAATATATATCTTTATTGGTTAAAGATTTATCTGCCTGACTGACAGGCTCTTAGAAAATTAGAGCTCCTAGTAGAGGAAAACAACGCAGCCATATAAAAGTGCTTTGCTTACATTATCTTTGTCAATTTTTATATTTGTTTATTAAATTTATTATTATTATACAAAAAATATAAAAAAGTAAAGCGATATATAAAAAAAGATTCGCTAGTCTTCCATTAATCTATACCTTTAAAACTGTTTGTCCTAACTGAGCCCAAATTGTAAGAGCTAGCAAGCAGAAAATATTATAGTAGGTTCCTTATTAGATATAACGAAAAACGGTTGTAAAAAGCAATTTTATTTTACTTAAATCTGCTTAGCACTTTTTGAAAAGTCGACCCTCCTGGGTGAACAATGGGTGATACCAGATATCGAGTTCGCTATGTGCAAATTGAGGTGCATAGCTATAGGGAAAGATTTAAAATGTTGTATGGGCAGGAAATGAGTGTAAAAGTGATGTTTGACATTAAAAGATATCGACTTGAGCCAATCAAGGCTGGCTTACACCAAGTAGTTGTAAGAACACCTTTAGGTTTTAAATATATGTATATAAAAAAAATTCGTAAGGTGTTGTACCTTTAATATTTCAAAAAGGGGTACTTAAATTATTTTGCCGCATTTGTCCCACAGTATTGGGCACCGAGGAGCCAATTTGCTGTGGTCCATCAATATACTGCATGTATACATCTACATCCACATCGGCATCTAGCTGGCGAACAATCTAAATGGCTAACCAGCCAGAGCCAACCAACTGAGCTATCGAGGGGGCGCCTGTTGTCGGGTGGTTTGCAGATTTGCTGCAGTCTGGTGTTCTTTGGGTGCCGACCCGAGGCGCAGACGGCAAGTATGGGGCTAAGAGCGAGGAGCTTAAGTGGCTCCACGTACTTTGGAGTTCGACAGTCGTTGGCTGATGTTGAAAAAAATATGTGCATAAATTTAAAGAATCTCAATTTACTTGGTTCGTGTTCATTGGTGCGCTGATGCTTTGGCTCCACATACGCCTCCGACTGCGACTCCTGCTCCGTCCTGTGATTTGTGAGCTCAATTATTGGACTTTTTCTTGTCTTGCTGTTGCTGTTACTGTTGCCACTACCGTTGGCTTCCCCTCGTTGCTGCGACTGTCGCTGTCGCCTCTCCACTAGGTTCTGTTTCTAGCATCAAGCTTTGTTCCATCACCGGCGCGGTTGTTTTTTGTGGTTGTCATTTTGTTATTTATTCAGCGCCATGGACCGCCCATTGACCGGGCTGTCAGTTGAGAGCATGGCTGAGGC